CCCCCCCCCCCCCCCCCCCAGGGTTTGAGGCCACCCACTCCCCTCCCTTTCTTTGCTGGAAAATAAATCACCCACAGTCTTGTTTAGTAATGCATGAAAGGTTCATCTTTTACGTCATGGCCCTGCTTTAAGTACCTTATACCTGTGCTGGTTAACTGAGATTATGGGACAAATCATTAGAAAAAATGTGGAGACACGGTGGCCTCATGGTTAGTACGCTCGCTTCCATATTGGCGGTCCTGTTTTGAGCCCTGGCCAGGGACATTGTGTTGTGTTCTATGGGCAAGACACTCTACTCTCACAGTGCCTCTCTCCACCAAGGTGCATATTGTAAATGGGTACCGGCAAGCTTAATGCTGGGGGTAGCCCTGCAATGGACTACGGTAACATCCCATCCAGGGGGGAGTAGGAATACTTCTAGTCACATTATGCTACTGAAACCAGGATAAGCACCAGCTTTAAACGATCACTTAGCTGGAATACAGACTTCACCTACCTACCATAGGAAGAATGGCAGCGCAGTCAATCCAAGCTCACATTAAAAAGGTATAATAATGATACAATCTGTATCATAGTGATGACTGCATGCTGATGTCATTCATGATTCCCAGTTGTCACTGAAGAGAAAATGCACAGGGCCAGGCTGTGTATAATTGTGCTTCAATTGTGATTAAATTTACCTAACCAGAAGAAATGATATAAATAAATGGCTGTGTGACCTTGGTCTTGTTTCAGAGTTGAATGGGCTGCAATGTTTGCTTAATGTGTCTTCATTTTTAGATTACAGATCAGACTTAAAACCTACAGACATAGCAGAGGAATTTGACAGAATGTGGGAGATGTGGGCCAGAGGTATCCCATACCATGAGAAAATGGAGTCAGGTAAAAGTAGAAATAATTTCTGCTTTCTTTTTTAAGTCATTTCATTAGATTTAGATAATTTAGGCAAAAATCAAATGAAGCCTTGAATATGGGTTACAAACATGGTCCCCTACAGGGGTACCCAATAATGGTTTTCTCTAAAATGCTATGCTGTTTTAATTAAGCTAAGTTTCTGGGGTGCCTTTAAAGTTCTGTGGGTTACATGTAATTGTAGGCTGCGCTATAAAATGTTTATCTGCTTGATCATTCCGGGGGAGTTTGAATCATTTTTTATTCTTCTCAAAGGTAGGTCTTTAATAACCTTTCCGAAAGTCGTAGCTGACCTTTTTTTCAGTACTCAAAGCAACATTTTCATTAATCCAAAAATTTCTTATATCATGAAAGTTCAAGGTGACATTTCTCCTAGTGTACAAAAATTGAATGGGATTACGGGCCTTCTGAACAGAGAATTACTGAAACAATTCTTTGGGTGCCCCTGACATTCTTTTTGGCTTGACACACCTCATCAAAAATCTATTTGCTAGGTAGAAATGATGGGTGCTGGCAGAGCTAAAAGAACATCTTTGTTGGAGGCTAAAGTTGTTGGAGAACATCATGCCCGTCTGATCATGAGTCCTAATGAACTGGAGGGGTGTTAGTTAGTTCCCCTGGTAGCCTTAAATGACAGAGCTAGGTGAATTCCAGTTGGAGTGGTCTATTGGCCCATTGGAATTAATGGATATGGGATATTAAGGCCAAAAATTAATGAGATATATGATACACAGACTCTCCCCACCCCCTCCCTAACAGAGCCTCTAAAGTCCGTATTTGAGTCCAGTGGCCCATCAGGCTGGTACTTATCTCCAGTTTCTGTGGCATGAAGCGACTAGGAGCATTTCTACTCTCCTTTTGATTGGTATGCTATAACTAGTCCATTGTAGGGTTTAACCCCTGGCATTAAGTTTGCTGGTACCCATTTATACACCTGGGTGGAGACAGGCATTATGAGAGTAAAGTGTCTTGTCCAAGAACACAACGAAATGTCCCTGGCCTGCCAGGGCTCCAACCCAAACTACTTGATCTGAAGTCCAGTGCACTAACCATTAGGTCTCACACCTCCTGCGCAGGCATTAGTGTAACAAAGCTCAAAAACTTTTATAGAATTTTAATCAGTATTTTTGGTTTGTGATCAGCAGCCACCATGTTAGTCTTTGATTAAGTTTAATTTGTCAGGAAGTTTTAAATTCCAAACAGGTTGTGTCACTAGAAGCATAAATTGTATAAATGTTTTAGTAGTGAAGTAGGTTTTCTTTGCCCTAAGAGTGCATTGAGAACCATGTACAGCTTGCAATGGTTAGGTTTTGGCTGGAATCCTGAGCTGTCAAACCATTTGATTTACAAGCACCCAACTGTGATCATATCCAACCCTTTGTTCACCTTAGTAGAAGATATTTCCTTTGTACAACATCTGCCCCGGTTATCACAAACACTGCTTATCTGGATATCACACTACTTGCGATTTTCAATTTCCCTTGCAACGTCTCTTTTAATGAAATGAAAACAAGTTTGGCCAGTGACGTGTCCAAAGAGCCTTAGTGTCTCGGTGCTGCTATTTTCAGGCGATTCAATTGTTTATGTCCCATGAGATCCAAGCAGTAATGATATGTCAACACTACAGCATAATTACTAGTACGTACATCATTGTCTTCAATCAAAATGTGATAGATGTATGAGTTTGGTGAGATGTTTGAGTATGACAGTCACCTTAGTTGGGCAGATGACAAGGTCAATCAAATAAAAGTGTACCCAATTGTACATTTTCAATTTGTCATTTTGTTTTCTTGGTGCATCTGTACACTAGCATGTGTGTCCTGACTAGACTCTGCTTGAGTCTGAGGGATGTACCATTACCATAGCTAAGTGTGTGACCAAGTGAAATAAACTGTCTATGTCTATGCATATGTCTATATCTATGTCTGCATCTTTGTCTATGTCTACGTCTTCATCTGTGTCTGTGTCTGTGTCTGTGTCTATGTCTATGTCTACGTCTACGTCGTTGTCTATGTCTCTGTGTCTGTCTACGTCTACATCTGTGTCTGTGTCTGTGTCTATGTCTATGTCTGTGTCTATGTCTACAGTAACTAACACTAGTATTTATTCGACAATGTATTGCACGGACTAATTATAATCTTGCATTTGGTCATATATAACCATATGCCTAAGAAAATACTAATAAAAGCATAAGTTTTGCTGAATTCAAACAAAAAAACTTAATTTCTTTCAGGAAATTTGGATGAAGTTCATCCATGGGTTGCCACTCACAGCCGTCCATGGCTTGAAAGGATCCTGAAAGATGACCCCATTGCTAGGTCTTGTGGAAGAAGAAGCATTCCAATCTTGCACAGTATTTTAGAAAAGGAAATCGAGGCGGGGGGAAGAGTAACATCACACTTCTTGACTCGGCGTGCTCCTACATATTATGGAATGATGAGTGTAGTTTTTAACATAACTAGATCAAGCAGTGCTTGAATAAATCATATGTGTTGTGTTAATTGTAGGTCTGTTAAAATATTAAGTATTATGGCATTCTTATTTTTACCAGCTGAGACTCTTTGGTGTCAGATTCTCATATAAGCTCTGTATTTTGCGATCAGTCATATATTCAATATTATTTAAAACTGGATCATTGGATAATGCAATTCGAGAGTTTTCATTGGCTTAGCCATCATGGTAAGCGCAAGCGTGATTTTTGCGGGCGTTTATTATTTTTATTTCAGTTTAGTTTTATCGATTTTGGGAGCGTTTTTGATAAAACAATTATTCCACTCGTGCTTGTTGGTTATGAAATGATTATAGCCATCTCATATCCAACGCGCTCTTGGAATAATTGTTCATATAATCTAGTAGCTGCTTTGAAGTCCTAAGATGTATACACAGGCAGCCCAAGCTCTCTCTATGAACCACACAAGCAACACAATATGGCATCGAATTATGAGGGTTTATATGGGATTTTCTACAAGATATCCATG